GGGTTCTCTCCACTAATTAAATTCGATAAGGCATTTTTTCTCCCAACAAGTTTAAAACTTCTGTAAATAAGGTGTAAAAGTTTTAATTGAATAAATTCTTCCTTTTCTCTTGTGAATAATATTCTAATATCATCGTAATCTTTCTTTCTTATGAATCATTAATTTTTCTTTTCTCTTTCTCTCGTTGTTTGCTCAATTATTTTTACACACCGTGTGAACACAGAAATTATCTATTTTACAAGTATTTTTCATTGAAGGAGAATTGGCCCTTCCTTTTTAGGTGAAAAATCTGATATAAATATAAGCTCAACTTTTTTTATGTAGGAAAGTTTTTAAAATATAATCCAATATATATATATACTTAACACGAAGGTAAAGCCATTTTTTCACTTTAATCAATTTAAGAGATAGAGATATTTTTAATGGAAAATAAAATTGAAGAAAGGGATTTATATATAACTTTTGAACATATGCTACCTGTACTAGAAATAAAAGGAAGTATTTCATTTTTACTTTTAATAAAATCAAAGTAACTTATGAGATTATTAAAAAAATCCTCGATAAATTTTATAATTAAAGTGAATTTAAAAGGTTAATTTTTGTTAGAGACCATCATAAAGGATGTTCTATATTGATCAAATTGAAAACAAATCAAATCTGCAGTTACTTTTCTGATTATATCTAAGGGATTATAAGGCTCGATATATATTAATAAATAATAAACATATTGATAAAAGGAATTTAACCATCTGTAGCAAGTCTAGACTATGCAACATATGGTTCGATCCACTGCCAAATTCCTAGAATTGTTTTCATAAAGTAATCACGCAATATAGCTCGTGGTCTACACTTTGAGAAAACGAATATAAACAACTAGATTAACCAAAGTAAACAGCTATATATCGCTACAAGTGTGATGAGGTACCAAGTAGAGTTTCTGATTTCCCGGTTTTTTCCATTTCCGGGAAATCCCAGGAACGTAATAGTCCTTCCCAGAATTCCCGAAAAAACATCAATGTTTCGAAAAATTTAAAAATAAAGATTATAATCATTAATAAGTTATTGTCAAAAATTCTATCAATTATTACACTTTTTGTATATTTTAATTTTGAAATTTTTATTCTTTATAAAACTTTTAAAAGCAATTTCTATTTCTATAACTGAAGCAAGTTTATTTAGGAAGAAGTATTTACAGTAGCCAATTTAATCGCCTCCTGTCACAAGCGTTCCTTTCAGTTTTTGAAATACATATTCGAGATTTGTAAATGTTACTGAAATATCAAACACTTTTTCAGCTTCTGAAATTTGAATTCCATTGATATAATCTGCTGGAACACTCATGCCGTGGCAACTAAGTGACACTATTTCAAAAGGAACACCTAAACCAAATTTCATGGACTGACGAGCATAAGTGAAAAAAGCATAAGAAATGATTCTACCAGAGTATTTTCTTTTTCGTACTATGATAGCAATCTTGCAATGAATTTTCCCTTTTATTTTCTTTATTATATCTTTACTTATTCTTCAATTCGTATTTATATAATTTTGAATCAACATTTACATAATTTCTGTAAAATAACTTTAATATTGATAAAAATACTGATGGAAAGGAAATATATTACTGGAGTTGATGATATATATATATATATATATATATATATATATATATGTATATATATGATTTTTAAACTTACAAACACACACACACACACACACACACACACACACACACACACACACACACACACACACACACACACACACACACACACACACACACACACACACACACACACACACACACACACACACACACACACACACACACACACACACACACACACACACACACACACACACACACACACACACACACACACACACACACACACACACACACACACACACACACACACACACACACACACACACACACACACACACACACACACACACACACACACACACAAATATATATATAAATATATAAAGAAAAAAACTTCATATTATTCTATCATAATTTTTAACTTTATGCGGCACTGTTATTCCTGTGTTGTACTTGGCGGGAAACCTAAACAGTTGATACATTCACGAAGTAAGTCTTTCTATTTACCTTTTGCATCGATTTTAAATCTATACTGTGAATACTAGTAGGCTATAATTTTATCGTTATATTTTATTAGTATAGTGATTTTATTTATAATATTTAAATTTTTCCTAATATTATTCATTCCTTTCCCCTTGGCACTTAGTATAAACAAACTACAGGTGAAGGTTGGCTAGCCCTAAAAGTTGTTTAAACCTGCAATTTTGAATCCTGAGGCCAGGAGTTTGTTATTGTACTACTGTGCATAATATTTCCTATCTTGAATAGTTATACTTAGGTTCTATTGCTATCTGTGTAAAGAAGTATAAGTCACAGTTGTATAATAGCAAACTCTTTGCCTCAGGAACCAAGAATGCAGGTTTAAACAATGTTTTGAGGCTAGCCAACTTCACTTATAATTTACTATACTACTGGGCTATAGGAAAAGGAGAAAGTACTATAAATATGTCATTATTCAAAGAATCACTATTATAAAATAAAATAACAGGAAGAATTAATAAAAAATACTTATTGTTGTTGTTGCTAATGGTATCTGTCTGATGGTGTGAGATCGAGATCCATGAAATTCATCGTGGCAAGGGGCTAGATGTACACCTGTCTTTAAACGTAGCTTTGAGCACCATATAGGTGACATTACGATTTGGCTGTTTCTTAATTTTGAACAACTTACTTTTAGAAATTAAAAATATTTTGTATAAAGTACATTAAAATAGTTAAACATACCCCCACAGCACATCGCCATGTTAATATTTCCTGCCAATAGAAATCCAACTAAGAGCAGCATCTTACAATATATATATATATATATATATATATATATATATATATATATATATATATATATATATATATATATATATATATATATATATATATGTATATATATACATATATATATATATATACATACATATATATATATATATATATATATATATATATAATATATGTATATAGGGTTTTTTATTGCAGAACATTAATTTTGCTTAAAGTACAAACTTGTTTTGCCCATGCCTTGCAAACTTTCTTTGGCTGTTCTTGGAGAATAAGTGGCAAAGTAACTGTATAATCCCTTAATACAAAAGGCAATACATTAAGCACAATATATTTAGTTTTGATATTAATTAGACTTTGGATAATGGAAAATTTATTGAAATATCTCTAGAAAATTGCAGAAGGTGGTAGTAAAAAAAATCAATGTTGAATGAAGGTAGCAATCTATTTTCGAGTAATGAAAGAACTGCAATGGAAAAGTAAGAGTAGAGAAAAATAACGAATTAACTTATATATAATAATTTATCAATTGTTAATACGCTTCCTCAAAAAATGACTTGAAAATTAGAAACATGTACATTTTGCAGAAAGACAATAACAACTACGTGTCCTATAAGTGAACAAAACAAGAAAAATAATTTCATACTTTCTTTGCGTCATTCAGTTTCCCTCATTAAGAAATCGATGTCGAGTTGGCGAAGAAAGAGGCAAGAGGAGAAAGAAAACTGAAGTAGATAGGAAACTATTTAAGTCTATTCGAGGACTAATGGTTTCTCCGAATGGGTTTACAAATGGAAAGCTCGGAATTAAACAGCCCCAATCTTAATTAACGATGATGTAGGATATTCTCTTTAAAAGTTTCCGTTGGGAGGTGACGCGAAGCAGGGAAAGAACTGGAAGGGAAAAAACTAGAACGCGATGTGAGGTGAAAAAAAAATAAAATCCACTTTTCTCTACTCTCTTATCTGCCAATACTTTCTTCCCATGCGCTTTTACCCATAAAACGCAGCGAGAGAAGATATTAAGAACAACTTTCCAACGTAAGATAATGGCGTTGAAACCTTTAGGCTTAGCTCTTCTCGAAGTAGATGATAAAAAAAAAGTAGGCCGAGTATCATCTTATCCTCTCCCCTTTACCCTTGGGATTCCTCCCTTCGTGTTCATTAAGCAGGGTACAGAAAGGTGTTTACACCATGCGCGCTGGGGTCGTTACGGGGCCTGCAAAAATACACTCCTGGGTAAAGGACGCCATTTTTTTTTACACTAGGCGCCATCTTAGTAAAATTCACTCCCGCTTCGCGACTTGTCCTTTTCACGAACTATAGGGGAGGCGGAAGGAAATAATCCGCTTCGTTAGCACCAGACAGATGGACAAAAAAGTAAAAAAAAATCAAAGTGATAAAGTTTTGGAAATAGCCGTATGTAATTTATTGGCGTTGAGCCTTTATCACAAGAAGGATATAAATTGTTAGCCCCCCTTTTCTGTCTTCCGAAAATCCCTTAGACCTGAGAAGCTTCTGTCGCCTCCATGGATCATCGAAAAATGTAAAATTGTGTATCAGATTGTACGCTGTTTATGTGGTGATTCCTTTTCAGGAACATGATTCTAGAAAAAAAGGCTAAGAAGACTTACTAGTTGTAAAGAATTTGAGCGATAAAAGAATTAACAAATAGTGAATGTTACTTTCTCACTGAAGGCAGGATGGTTACTTGGAAGTAATGTGCTAAGAAAGAGTCTTTAAAGGGAAATTGTATTACAAATCTTATGTATCAACTGTAATGAAAATCCATCACAGAATTTCCTAATTTTTAAAGTTTCTGACTTTAAACAAGTAATATAAAATTTTTGTTTTTATTGCCAATTTCTACTTAGGTCAACAAAGAAAATTTTTATTTTAGTCACTTTTTATTAAATAATTACAATTATATAAATATGTATATACATATGACAGAATCACAATATTAAGTGGCAAAATAGAAAGCGATTTTCTATTTTACTTTCTATATATTGTATTGGACTATTATTTTTGTTCGTTACTATTTATTCATTAATTCATTTTAATTATTCCAATAAAATAGTATAGTAAAAAGAAATCCCATTCTCAGAAATTAGGTAGGACTCTCCCGGTTGGGATTCGAGGGCACGCCCTTTGGATTAGAAGTCCAATGCGCTACCCATTGTGCTACAGGGACACAACGAGCAATTTTCCTTTTTATATTTGGTGATGGACTATTATTTTCGTTTGTTACTAATTATTCCTTAATTAATGAATTAATATTTGAAAAAAACTGTATTAACATCAAGTGTTAGCCACTACAAGTTTAAAAAATGTATTTGAACTTAAATGGATGAATATAAAGTATTTTATTAACGATTGAAAATATTTGAACAAGATATATATATATATATATATATATATATATATATATATATAGGGAGAGTGTGGACTGATAGTAGGAATTGAAAAATAATGGCATTCATTGAAATGTAACAAATATTGTCTTCATTAAAATATCAACCGAGTAATATAAAGTTAACTTATTTTAATACGAGAATTTTAAACAGTAAAGGCATTTTTATTAAAAACAAAGAAATACAGCACTAATTACAAATTTATTTTATGCATACATTTTTAAATAATATGGATGCCATTTCAAAGGTAAAGTTTAATTCATATATAATCTTCTGTTCTTAAAAGAAAAAAATATTTTCAAGAACATTTATTTGAGTTCACTTTAAGAGTAAAAATTATTTGATTACATTACAAAATTAATTCACTGTCATTTTGTTTGACGCACAGAAATAAAAATTGGTAATTACTTTTATATTTATTTCATTTAACACTAAATTTATAGTGTGTGACAAATCTATACGGAACTTTATCACTAACCTTCTGAGTCGACCTTTTTAGGGAAATTTAATTCCCTACCTATTTCCAATCAACTCCAAAAAGCGGACAGGATTCCTTGTTATATGCAGATTAGATAAAGTATTTAAGTCAAACAAAATAGTAAAGTTAGAGCAGTAGGAGATAGATATTGAAGCATAAAGTTATAGTGAATTTGAATTGAAGATTTCTTGTTGGAGATAATTTAATCTCAAGAAGAGTTGAGATTCCGTTGGTAATTATAGATTTATAATTAAAGTCTCATTAAAGTTTTAGGAGTGAGATTAAAGTTAAATGTTCAATGAGAACATTATTAAATATAATTCTGGGATCTCTTATCGTGGTAATCTCTGCGTGATCGTTATTTAATAAATTAATTAATTGGATCATTAATTAATTAAGTTAATTTAAAGGATATTACCTTTAAAACCTCATAATACTAGTTAGATAAATTTGTCAATAAGTCTTTGATTCTATTTGGATAAGATAACCAAATAAAGAAAGTTGTTTATAAAAATGGCTACTGGTTCTTACATGACTCTTATTTATTCTCGTTCTCAAAGTGAGGTCCTAGGAGACCTTCACAAGTGTTTACATGTAATGCTTATTAAATACTTCTAACGGCAAGTCTTAAAATAAATTGAGATGAAGGAATTATCGTTCCTTAAATCATATTTTGGAACACATATTTTGGAAGGCAGAGTAACATAGAAAAAGTAGTAAATTTACTATATCAATAGTATAAATTTAGAAGCACATACTATTTTTCTTAAGAAAATATTTTTTCTATAATTATTGGAAGGTAAATATAAATTTTGGAGATTTAGACTAAAACATTCAAGGAAAATAAAACAATCTAAGAAATAGGACTATATCACCACATACACAGTTTTTCTTTATATAAGGAAACACATATACATTTATAACATATACATTTTTCTTTATATAAAGTAGCATATAGCCATCTGGGAGACGTAGTTGGTTTGTCGCTGGCCTCGTACACCTTTGGTTGCGAGTTCAACTCTATCTTAAGTCGGTGGATTTTCATGATGCAGAAAATTGACAGTGTCCATTTATGATTATGAGGATTGTAAAATATACCTTGAGTGCTTGCTTGGATTGGATGCTTTTGGCAAAATAAAATTCCAAAGTCTGTTTCGCATCATCAGAGCTCCGGTACCTCCCTCTGTGGAGGAAATTGGGCGTTAAAATTATTTGCGGTGATTGGTACTCCGCCTGTATGGTGCCGCAGTATAAAAACGGTACCAGCTTCCGGAAAATGTACCAGGTTTGCAATGGTAAAATCACCAATCTGCTTCTCCATTCGAAATTAAAAAAAAGTAACATTGAAATTTTGGAATGAAGAAAAAACAGCGAAAACAATGAAAACCGAAACGTAGATTATATAGCTCCGTTATTATTAAGTCCATAGAGATTCTCGCTCACCTACTTGGAGTATTAATGTCTTAGCCCGGTAACATATGCAAGTACAATTTCGTAATTTTGAACCACGATAAAATAACGAATTCTATACCCGATTTAGCATTCTACTCTATATATGTAAGCTATGGCAACATGAGGATTTCGAGCACCGACAGATGTAATGTGTATCCGTTTGCTTACACTCTCCGCTCTAACGGAATCAGAACTCATATATATGGCTACATTGAATTATTGCCAGTTACGAGCTAGTTAGTATGTTCACTCATCTACAGTGCGATCGCAAGAGTTTTCACAATTAAGAAACATTCCTATAATGTTTGAATTTTATTAAAAAAAGGAGAGGAGCTTGGTTCTCAGTTTCCATTACTCAATAAGTTTTAATTTAACACAATCTGATGCACTTTCTAAGAATAAGAGACAACAATTTTTCTCAAACAAATATCGAACATATATTCAATGTTCTTTAATCTGTTACAGATCTGATATGTGCGATCTTTTTCTTATGCGGTATATGAATTTCAATGGCTTTGCCGCCACTGTAATGTTTTCTATCTATTTACCAGTGGCGTAACGGAGAATGTTATGACCCCCTTCCCCCCTGAAACTCAGGTTTCGCCTTTAATATTTTATGAATTGGGTAAATGCGTATTTAGCGTTAGTCAGGCATTGGGCCCCTAGAGTCTTGCCCCCGTGATGCGGGGATGTACGTTACGCCACTGAAATGTACTCACTTTAAGACGCTCTGTTCATTTGTTATAAGCAGTCTCCCGACAATGCGCATTCAGATGTTTTCTCTCAATGCTCCAGTAGCCCGCGCTTGATTGAAGACGAAACTTTCAATGACAATGATATTATCAAAAATCTGATAGATTATGAAGACGGACAAGAAGAACCGTACTCTTTGAGAGTGGATAAAAATATGCAGGGATCCAACTTTTCAACAAAATGGAAAACTATTTTCTTAAAATCTATACCAATTAAGAAAAGTGTAAAAAATTCCAAAAAGGACCTGGATCATGTATATATGGTTGTCGTGAAATGTACATGTAACTGACCACCCGACCTTTGTCACAAAAACTTATCTCTTACTTTATGTTGTGACGGGCTCACACGTTTTTACATTAACATGTCCTTTTGGGTTCTTTGGGGCCAAAAATAAATGGCAATTCTTTTCCAACCAACCCGAGAAGTAACACGTTAAGGAAAGATGCAAATTAGGAAGCTTTTAAATAACAGAAGTTTAGAGTAAGCGAGGTGATATTTGGGGAGTGTTATGATAGTCCTTGTTTCAAGTGTGAAGAGTATTTCGAGGAGTTAAGTGACAGTCAAGAGAGGCCACCCATGACAGAGAGCCTTTAGTCAAGGTGCACACCATTGCACGCCAGTGAACCACAACTTCAGTTATAATCAGATAGATTGCCATTTCGTAGGACATTAAGGTAGGAGTTACCTTTTAAATATTCGGATCTGTGTTGACATTGCAATTGAGCTTAGGCGAGTTAGTTATTGATAGTGGTCCAAGTTACGTTATTTCGGTATTATATATTGTGTTTTTAGCCACCGTAGATTCTCTCACATATGATATTATTATCTAATATGTTATTGGTTTAAGTTAAGATCTTAATAAAGCAATATTAAGATTATTGCAGCTTCTAGCTCTTCATTTATTCCTACACCTCTAGCTCACGCTGATAATTTAGGAGAAGGGCACACGTGAGGGGCATCCTTATAATGTTGTCAAAAAATGAATAAATTGAAATTACACCTTCAAGTGACGAAAGCGATTTTGAATGCATTCATCACAGGGCTTTGGATTACCATGAGTAGCAATGAATTATGTATGTATATTTTGAAAAATCCGTGTACAAAATGAGAAACTATATGTTTTAAAATTTTCCATGTGTAATATTTAATTATTTATTTTGTTATGGAAGTACTTTTACATAAATTTCGCAAATAATTTGTATATTTTATAAATGCGACTTTTTGTTATGCGGTCCCTATTCACCGCATAAAAAAATTTCTGTAGTATTTTCACGAATTAGAGTTTGTTATAAGTAAGAATTTATGAAATTTTTGGATATTATTTTTGTGCGTTTATTTTTATACGGTCCCTATCTAACGCACAAAAACAGGTTCAACTGTACTTCCATTTTAGAGATTCAAATCCTATCCTTTCTAAATCAGGAGGCGATGATGTGAGTGTTTTTGGGTACAATCAAAAGCTTAATGCTAGGACACATATATCAATAACTTACAAACAATATGTAGTCATGCAACATTATGAAATACCTAACAAAGCTGGAGGGTTATAGCTAATCAGTTATATATATTAGTGAGCTTTAACTCTTTGTGATTTATGTAGTCGCTAAGTAAGTTATGTGGATCGCATCCATTATAGTATGTTAATTTATCAATACATATATTGAACGAGCTAAGATATAGATTTTACACACCATGTTAAGTTAGTATATTTTTCGCTAAAACATTTTCAACAAATACTACCCACATTTTATCTCTCTAATATTAGTTATATTACCCTGTAACACGCCCTTACGCACGCACGCAAAAGATCAAGAGGCACACTCACTCATGCATATACACGCACACGTGTGTGTGTTAAATGTAATAAATTTTTCATTTCATATTACACTTTATTCTCTAACTATTTTAGGAAATATAACAAAAAGTAATTTAAAATTAACAAATTTTTCTGAGAATTGGGATGGTAACTCAGCAATTAAAAAGTTTTAACATCTAGCAAAATAATTTTTTGCATACAAATTTCTTTCTATAGTTGTTGATTAAAATTCTATTGTAAAACTATTTCTTCTGTGTTACTTCTATAATATTCTTTTTTC